ATCATAGTTTTCAAACATCCTGATATCCATGCTGCAAAAATATATGCATTCATAACATCTTGATTATGTAATTACACAGACAATAAGGTATGATTACAGGGTGATAGAGGACTGAGGAAGCTACTCTAGAGTGGTGTTCAAAATAAAAATGAAGGTATGCATACGTATCTCATCATTCACTGGGAATCGGTTTACGCTAGAATGTTAAACCCTTGTGGTGGTTTAGAAACAATTTGATGACAGGTTGAGAAACTGTAAGACTGCACTAGCTGAAGTTAGAAGCTAAGTTGGATATAAGCACCGAACACACATCAAAATAATTGTGCGCATGATCATGAATCACTGCAGAAACAAACCTATAAAACTTTAAACGTGCACGTACATATTGTAATAAAGTAGAAATATATTTGCAACATAATTAGGCAATTATTTACTGCTTAAAGTGCCATTAAAGGATTTTTAGCATTAACCCGTTGGATCATCATGATGAACTCCTTAGGTGTTTACAAACTTCTGAATAGTAATCACTGGTCTAGGGCAGGAGTTCTTCATCTAGGGCCCATGTTATTTTAAAAATAATTGTTTTTCAACATAATTAGTTTGTTATATAATTATATCTCTCTCTCTGTGTGTGCATACATATATAATTTTAAAAAACATTGTTCTGAGAAGTCCAAAGACTTCACCAGATTGCTAGTGGGTTCTGTGAAAGAAAAAAAGTAAAAAATCTCTGGTCTGGTGCATGATACCTTGGTTTCCTTTTAGACTCAGCTCAGGCATCACCTTCTTCATGAAGTCTTTCCTAATCCCCTTGGCTGCTTGTTGTTGTTCAGTCATTTCAGTCCTGTCTGACTTTTTGTGACTCCATTTAGGGTTTTCTTGGCAAAGATACCAGAGTGATTTGCCATTTCCTTCTCTGACTCATTTTACAAATGAGGAAATTGAGGAGAACAGGATTAGGTGACTTGCCCAGGGTCACATACCTACTAAGTGTCTGAGGCTGGATTTGAATTCGGGTCTTCCTGACTCCAGGCCTGGCACTCTGTCCTCTGCTCCACCTAGCTGCCCACACTTGTATGTAAAATTCTTCAGATAGTAGGATTGGGTGCGTCTTATCAACTGCTGTCAGCCTAGAGAAATTTTCATTTATACTAAAGTAGATTTGATGTGTTATAGAAAATGGAGAAACCTCTACAATATCTTTCATGCCTGTTTCTACAATCACCACCACTTGTGTTTGGGCCCTCATTATTTGTAAATGTCTTCTAAGCCTCTAGTCTCTTAGCCCTTCAAACTAGCCTACATACTATCAGATTAATCTTCGTAAGTCTATCATTAATCATTTTACACCAGTGCTTTCAAGCCTTTGTGTTGCTTACTGATTAAAGTCCAAATTCCTTAGCCTGGCATTAAGGCCCTTCATCAAAAGATTTCAGCCTTATCTTTCACTACTCCCATTCCCCTGTTCTACTCTAGCCAAACTGGATTATTCACTGTTCCTCAAACACACCCCATGCTTTTCTACCTTAAAGCCTTTGTTCATGCATTTGCCTGGAATGTCCTCCATTGGTCTTTTACCTGTTAAACTCTCACACATTTTTAAGGCTGAATAAGCTCTGTCTCTTCCATGAAGTTTGTTTCTGATGCCCCCAACTGAATGTGATCTCTTTGTCTTCAAAACTCCCCTTGAACTTGATTTTTTCTCTTATAGTCCATACCTGTCATGCCTCTGTCCTACCTTATATTATAGATTTCATGTTGTTTCTCCACTGTATCATATGATCCTTATGTTGTAGAATAGGAGAAAGAACATTGATTTGGGGGCAGAGAGATGAATATAAATCCTAGCTCTGAAACTTTATTACTAGCTGTGTGCCCATGCCGTTATCCCTCTTTGAGCCTCAGTTTCCATATTTGTAAAATGGGATAATAATATTTGTGCTTTTTACCTCACAGGTTTATTTTGAGAAGGTGCTTTTGTAAAGCACTATATAACCTGAGCTGTCATAATAGGCAGGGTCACCTCTTATTCATTTTTGTATCTTCTTTACATTTGGTCCCCTCTGTCACCTTTTTTGAGCCTCAGTTTTCCCATCTCTAAAATGGAAACAATAATACTTGTACTATCTATCTCACAGATTTATTGTGAGGAGACTTATTTGTAAATTGAAAAGTACAATATAAATTTTACCTTTTATTATTTGGGGCAGGGACAGTATCTTACTCATTTTTGTATCCTCTGTGGTAGCTAGCATAGCATGCAGTGTGATGTTTGTTGAATTAAATTTGTTTTCCATCACATGATCCTCTAACTTTGGTGATGTGGAAATATTGTTAGGTTTATCTTTTCTCTGAATGTGTAAAATGAGTTAAGGACAGAGATGAGTTGAAGAAAATCAGTATTTGCTGTCTTGCCTATTTCTTTTAGCATTTTTGTAACAGAGCTAGATGTGCTCTCTGCTTTTTCACTGAAAAAGAGAGAATTGTAAAAGGGATGGTAAATTGAGTTAAGTTTTAAGCATCTAATTTTCAAATCTCAGTTTCTTATTTTAGATCTTTTAGGGACAAATGTGATGTTATAGTTGCAAGATATTAGAATATTTCTACTAAAGTGTTCTTTCTCTTATTCTATAATGTAATAATTATATGCTATAATGGTGGAGATATGACATCTTTTGGAAGAAAGAACCAGTGGCTCCATCATGCATTATTACTGGTTTGCCACACCTGTACATACAGAAGCCATACCAGTTAAATAGAAAACCATTACAGTTAAAGTGTTATAATTCATATTGTGTAAATAGAATTACAAATGTTTGCAAAGGCTCTGCCCTTGTAGACTGTCCAATGGTATGAGAAACAGGATGCAAAATAGCTGAACAGCCCAGAGCTGCTGGGTAGCAGGTATGTGACCAGGAGCACACTGGAGTTGAGCAAAGGTTCAGTGTTCTGACAGGTTGGGGAAGTTTTGGGTAAGTGTCTATACCTGGATCTTGGGGAGGAGTGGAAAAAAAGGAGAAACTGGTAGTTCTTCTACATATTGGAAGGAATAGCTGGAGCTGAGATAAGAGAGAAAAGATAACAATCTTAATACCTAAATTTTAATGAGAAGAATAGAAGACTGAAGTAATTACACAAGAAATAAAGATTATGAAGATGATGGAAAGGGGTGAATAACAACAAATAGGAAGAGATTTAACAACCTTTAAAGCATTTTCTTTGTGAAGTCTCTAATTTGTGTGTGTGTGTGTGTGTGTGTAGGTAGGAAGGTAGAAATGTTGATGATGGGATAGTAATTTAGGTTATTCCTTGAGCTTCATGTGGGTTTTCTGTGGAGAAGACATGGGGTAAGAAAAAGTAAGCCATCCTAAAGCAAGGTTTAGTTGAATTTCCAAATGGATTGACTTTGGAATTTCAAAGTCCTTTGGGGAACAAAACCATCTTGTACGAATGAGTAATTACAACTAACTAAAAATAGCCATTCTGGTAAAAAAAAAAAGGTATTTCCAAATGAAGAAAATGGTACTCAATTTTGCATGATATTTAGGAATACTTGGCACAGAGGTCAACAACCTTCTTGGAAGAGTTATCAAGAAAAGTACTAAAGTCTCTGTCTCACCTTCTCTCTTCTTCTTCCCTCATGAGTCAAAGCTAGGACTTGAAGTGCAGGCCTAATTAGAAGTAGGTGATCTTCCAGGAAGATGAGTTTTTCATACCATCTTGTGGAACATGTGCAAAGGCTTACAGACCCTTAACGGATTTTATAGTTCACAGTGAAGTGGGAAAAAAGACTTCTGTGTGCAAAATTTAGCTTGAAATATATAGATTTATCTCTCATGAGAATTTGTCATCCTAGATGTAATTAAAAAAAAACCCAACTGAATAGAGTAATAGAAATTATACTAATCTAGAACTTAACAGTTTGCAGAATGCTTTGTGTTCTAACATGTTCACCTGTTGATACAGTGTTACAGTTTAAAGTTGACACAGTGTTACAGTTACAGTTGACACAGTGCCTTGTAATCTCATTTAAAGTTTTCACAAACTCTATGAGGTTGGTAATGAAAGTATTATCTATACTTTACAGATGGGGAAACTGAGGATAAATGCCTTGCTTAAGATCACATAGATTATCAGTAATGGATATAGGATATGTGTTCATGTCTTCTGACTCCATATTCATTGCACATTCCATTATCCTTGTTGTCTCTGGATATGCATGAACTTTCCCAAAATTCAAAATAAGAAGTATGAAAGATCTAAGGACATAGCATTGGGAGCCTCACTGATGGGAGGTGAGAAGGAGAAGTTGGACCTACCTGCAGATGATAATGTCAAGTGTTTTATTTTTTAGTCTCTTTCATCACACCCATCTCTTCTCTGATGTTTTTCTCCTTCCCTTATTTCTGTTTCTGTTCCTGTTCATTGATGCTTTTACTAGTAACACTTTGGGGCTATTATCCTGCTGTGGGTAACTTAACCTCTCTGACCTTCCATTTCCTCATCTGTGTAAAATGAAGATAATAATAATCATACTAGCTGCTATTTCACAGGGTCGTTGTGAGGAAAATACTTTGTAAGCCATAAATCCACATAAGAACATAAGATTTTATGATTATTTTATATGTTTTTTATTTTTCATTTTATTTATTTTTATTTTATATTTATTTTATTCTGACCAATTCATAGAATACTTATTAAATTAAAAAAAACCTTCCTTCTCTTGCACAGTAATTTATATATTTCATATATGTATGTATATGTATACACACATATATATGTATATCTGTATGTGAGTGTGTGTGTGTGGGTTTATGTGTTTATGTCCTGGATTAGGTAAATTGCAAAGGCAGAGGATTGTTTCTTTTATATTCCTTTGGAGCCTTTAGTGCAATGCTGAGCACATTGTTGGTTGTCAGTAAACAGTGTTGAACCACTGTTAGGCTGTCTTTTGATATACTTAGAATGCTAACTTTCTTCTTGTATTTTGTATTTTGAAGGTAAACTACTGAGTTTTTCATTATGTCTGATGGGGACTACGATTATCTCATCAAGTTTTTAGCCTTGGGTGACTCTGGAGTTGGGAAGACCAGCTTACTTTACCAGTACACAGATGGCAAATTTAACTCCAAATTTATCACCACAGTGGGCATTGACTTCAGGGAAAAGAGAGTGGTAAGTTCTCAATCCTTGTCTTTGGTATTTAAAAACACAATCTCCAAGTAAACATTTAGGATTTGCTTGTATTTTTTTGTTGACTTCGTAGACATGGGAAGAAGGGCAGAGGTTGGCACCTAAAAGTAAAAAAGTAAAAGTAACAAATTAATCTCATTTGACCTGAGCAAGACTATAAAAATATCACCAAAGAGATTTTTTAAAATCCATGAATATAGTCAAATAGACAAAAGCTAATAATGGCTAAGTGAAGAAGCATGGGAATAAGAGTCAAGAAACTAAGAAGCCACCACTAATTTATGATGTGACCCTCAGCAAACCACTTTCTCAGAAACTCATTTTCTTCAAATGTAAAATGAGGTGAAGTGGTTGGACTAGATGTTCCTTAAGGTACATGCCAATGCCAACATTCTCTGAATCATTTGCTTTTATTATCAATATTTTTTGGCCACTGTATCTGAAATTATGGATCTGACTTTGCTAAAGATGCATTCATTCACATTTATGTACTGTTGGCTGTCATTTATAAGACATCATCACCAGAACAAAGCATGATGATGTTGATACTACCATTAACAGTGATGATATTCATTAATAAAGTAGTGTTTTTTGGAATTGTTCAGTGAGAGCCCCGTCCTCAAAGGGTTCTCATACTATAAGGATGGGGGTCCCATTGACCAGTCCCCTGTGATATTTGTATCAAAAACAACAGTATGGGTTGTGTGCTGGTGGTGCAAGGCACCTTTAGTTCCAGCCACTGTCGAGATGCCTTTCAAAGAGGTTCTCAGATCCTTTATTAAAATGAGAAACCATAATAGCTTGCTCTTTGATTCCTTTTTTATCCCTAGAGTGACTAAGAATGTTTTTAAAAAAAAAACATTAAAAATAATTCAAATCCTATCATTTTCCTCAATTTTTTTTTGTAAAAAAGAAAACAAACTCCAAAGCCACCTCCCCAAAACCCACAAGGGTGGGGGAAACAAAAATCAACTCCAAACTCCCAGTTCAATGACATTTATTTTTGAAATTTGGATATAAAGGGAATAGGGTGGGGAAAGCCCTCTCTTTTCTGAAGTTGAGAACTTACCCGCTTCCTTCCACCTGAGTCAGCAGGTTCATCATTTTTAAGGGGATTTCCATAAACAGGAAGTTTCTGATAAGGTAGCAGGCTTCCAAGTATCTGCTAGGTTGCACCCTCCCCCTACTGTTTCCCCCCTCCCCCACCATGCATTGCTCCACAGAGTAAAGAGGAAGAATATCTCCCTTCCCTGTGCCCCATCTGAGGGATAAGATTTTAGAGGGGTTGTGTAGGCTCATAAGTCAGCTCTAATCACTCTGCTCAGGCTAGTTAGAAAGCTGACCTTTCAGTGGGGGTCCTCAGATGTGTCCTCAGGTATTCTAAGATTTAAGGCTAGGGATGCATCTTAAGTGTCATCTAGTCTAACCCTTTTATTTAGGAGCAGTGATGAGGCCTAAAGGAGGTTAAGTGTTTAGCTTGTAGTCTCACCCATACTAAATATTAGAGCCAGGTTCTTTAACTCCACATCCAATATATCATGCTCTCTCTCCCCAATTCAATAACTTTAAAACCCTGTACAAAGTAACTTCTCTTTCTGAATTTAGAATTCTTCCACCCCCAGCTTCTGGGGAATTTTTTCCCTTTAGTTCTTTATGGATTTTCCTCTTAATTTCAAATAATGAGTCCAGTTGAGAACTCTTAGCTGGTCTCCTTATTTGGTATGAAATGCTAACCTCACTGATTCAAAGGTAGTCTCCTTTTAGTTGGAGTTCTTAATTGTTCAGATTCTCAGTGGGAACTGGATAGCCTTAAGATTTTGTTCTTGTTCCTGGTAATTGTTTGCTGTTCGCTAAAGAGGTGTTTTGTTTCCCTGTTTTACTTTGTGAAATTTACCTCTTGTAGGTATACAGGGCCAACAGGCCAGACGGAGCAGTTGGCAGAGGCCAGAGAATCCACTTGCAGTTATGGGACACAGCAGGGCAAGAGAGGTGAGGCCGGGAGTCATGTACTAGTCATGGGAGGAACACAAAGCAAGCAGTGATATATGTACAATCACAAGATCAGAAGAGAACTGGCCAGTTACCTGACATGCATCTGGGCAAGAAATATGCTGCCAAATGAACAGGAAATTTATCAGACTGACATGAGAACGATGGTTTTGTTTTCCATAAGTCTAAAGGGAAAAATAATCTTTGCAGATTTGATTATTTATTTTACGGGCATTTTATGTTAATGTGTTTCCCTAATACCGTTTCCTTTATTTCTTTTTACTAATGGGACGTGCGCGCACGCGCGTATGTGTGTGTGTGTATGTTTGAATAAATGTGGCTGCATCATTAAAACTCAACTGCTTAGAAACTTTAGGTGGATCAGAGTTCTCACTATCAGAATCTAGAGACCCAACAGGAATAGTGCACGTAGACTTGGCATGGTATTGCTTTCATTTCAGAGTTTCTGTTATCTCTCTGAGCCTACTTACCTAGAATTTTATTGGATCTGAGAAACAGCTGTTTTTACTGTTGGAATGACAGTTATTTGAAATCAATATTTGAAGAAAACCTACCACACCTGGTTGGATGACTCAAATTCATTTTACATGTGTTCCTTGAAGCCTGGTGGTTGAGATGGGCAGGGCAGGAAAGGGGATGAAGCAGAGAGTTGCATGTTGCTCCAAGTCTTGGGAGAGAGAAGAAAACAGGAGAAGGGAATAGATGAGGTTAGTGACTGAGTCATTACTGCTCTCTAAACTCTGTAACAATAGCCTTTGGGAAAAGCTTGAATTTAGAGGCCAGAGGACACACTATGGCAGTGAGCAATAGTGGAAAGAATGCTGTAATCAGGAGAGACCTGGCTTAGAATTCTGCTTCAATACTTGTTAGCTATGTGACCACAAACAAATTCCTTAACCTCTTTTTCTCCTGCTCTGAACCTCAGTCTTCTCATCTGTAAAATTGGGATGATACCTGCAATACCTATCTCACAAAGCTGTTGTGAGACTCTGATGAGATTAAAATATGTAAGGAGCTTTATAAAACTTAAAACCCATACACATCTGTACACAGATATGTGTTAGTATTTTGTTGTAATGTTACCCCAAAGTTTTCACAACAACTATAATAATACCTAGCATTTGTAAATAGTACTTTAAAAGTTTGCAAAGTATTTTACATGTTATCTCATTTGATCCTCATAAACCCTCTGGGAGGAAGGTGCTATTATTATCATCCTGATTTTATAGATGAAACTGAGGCTGAGTGGGCAAGTGGCTAGCCTAGAGTCAAAAAGCTAGTAATTATCTACGGCAGGATTTGAGTTTAGGTCTTTCTAAGTCCAGCTTTCTGTCCTCCAGTATATGTGTATGCATGCCTATAATATATACACACAGATACATTTAGAGGAAATGTGGTGTGGAGGACAGAAAGCTTGCTTTAGAGTCAGGAAAGCTTGTCACTTGCCTGTGACACATATTGGCTGTGAGATCCTGGGTGAGTCACTTAGCCTCAGACAATTAGCGTGTGTTGGTACAGGAAGTTTCTTACCAGGAGCTTCTTATACTGATGAAGTCAAAGGTCCAGTAAAAAAAAAATTAAAAAATATACACAAGTGTTTGTTTCACAACATGATTAGCATGGAAATATGTTTTGCATGACTTCACATGTATAATCTATATAAAACTGCTTGTCTTCTCAATAAAGGTGGAAGGGGAAGGAAGAAGGGAGAAGATTTGGAACTCAAAGATTCTTAAAAATAAATGTTAAAAATTGTTTTTACATGTAATAAAATATTAAGTAAATAAAATTACTAACATTATAGTGGTATATATATTGGATGTGTGCAGGCACAGTCATTTAGCCTCTTAACTTCTCAGAACCCAGTCAACTCTCTAAGATTATAAATTGCAGAACAATGATTGATTTGCATTGGTAGAGGGAGCTTCCTCACTGGGACTTCTCCACACCAATGAAATTAGAGTTCTGAAACAAACTAGCAAACAAACAAATCCCTTCCATATTCTGAGAAAAAAAAACCCATTAAAAATATTTGCTCTGCATGATTTTGTGGTATAGTAATAATTGTAGTAATAAAATAAAACATTAAAAAGACAAGTACACATATCAGTATTCATTGCCTAATTATTCATGGCCTCATCATAAACTATTAGGTAAGTTATGGGGTCAGGAATTAGCTTTTGTTATCTCTGTTAAGTGGACTGACTGGGTTGCCTAGTTTTTGTGTGGAGATAAATAGCTAAACAGGTTTATATGAAAGTAGATAATAAATGAATGCAACATTGGTGTAATACTTTTGTGCATGATCATCTGAGTCTTACGTTTACAGGTTTACAGGCAAATGACCTTTATGGAAACATTGCAACTCACAAGGAACCATAATTTAAAATAAGTGTTTGGTTTCCTATGAAGGAACTACTAACTTGTAGTCTTGCTTTTGTGTTCCTAGGTTTCGTAGCCTGACAACTGCATTCTTCAGAGACGCGATGGGTTTTCTTCTCCTTTTTGATCTGACCAATGAGCAAAGTTTTCTCAATGTCCGAAACTGGTTAAGTAAGTAGTTTTTTTTTTATCTCTCTTTACACTCTTTTTTTATATGTGACTTAGAGGAAAGTGCTTATCTATGTTAGCTCAATAATTAATCCATCTTGTAACTTATTAAAGTATTTATTTTTCCCCATCTGACTTTGAATTTCTCAATAATTAATTATCCTTTCCTGCCTTATTTAGAAAAATTATGGACACATAAGGCTAGAAAGACTTTAAGAAATCATGTAATCTATGTTGCAGTTTTCAGATAGGACTGACCATTAGACCATGATAGAAAATAAGACTACAACTCATTTAAAAAAATTATCCAGTGAAGATGCCATATCTTCTTTTGTTTAGGTTTCTTGGCAATGATGGCTAATTAAATTGCTCATGCAGAATAGAGGTGAAACACTTGTGAATTTAGTTATTCATTAGCTGTGATAGATGGTTTTCTGGAGGAAAGTACTTGATGATATGGATTAAAATGAGCTTTAGGGGCACCTGGCAGATTTTATCTTTCTGCTCTTCCTATTTTTTTTTGTTATCATGGCTATTTGAAAGCTAGGTGTATTTTTTCTGTTATTCTTATTGTATTTTAAATAGTTACTGAAGGCTGTAGAATATGTTGGTATTAAAACAAAACAAAACATTTTCTTTTTTCTCCTATTTTCCAATTCCTGCTTCTGATCGGTAACATAGCATATAATAGAGAGTTGACCTCAGAGTCAGGAGGACATGAGTTCAAGTGCTGCCTTTGACATGTATTGGATGTGTGACCTCAGGCACACTGATTTAGCCTCCTAACTTCTCAGAAGCCCAGTCAACTCTCTAAGATTATAAATTGCAGAACAATGAATGATTTGCATTGGTAGAGGGAGCTTCCTTACTGGGATTTCTCCACACCAATGAAATTAGAGTTCTGAAACAAAAAAATCTCTCCCGTGTTCTGAGAAAAAAACATTACAAATATTTGCTTCACATGATTTTGTGGTATAGTATTGGACAGCCGGGTGGCATATTGGACAGCTGGGTGGCAAAGTGGATAGAGCACTGGACTTGGAATCAGGAAGACCCCCTCTTCATGAGTTCAAATCCAGCTTCACTTTAGCTGTGTGACCCTGGACAAATCACCTAACCGAGTTTGCCTCAGTTCCTCGTCTGTAAAATGAGCTAGAAAAGGAAACAGCAAATCACTTCAGTATCTTTGCCAAAAAAATCTCAAATGGGGTCATGAAGAGTTAGACAAGACTGAGAAGGACTGAACAACAACAGATGCAGTAGGAATATTAGAGTCAGAAGATGTGGGTTGACTTCTAAGTGTGACACTTATGATTCTGGGCAAGTCACTAACCCTCTCCAGACCTCAGTTTCCACTTAAAAATGGAGATAATTCTTAAGTGTGGGACATAAAGCGAAAGAGATCATGGAGATCATTTAGAGGTGATTTATTCATCCAGTATTTACCCGTTACTGATTGTTTGGAGATGTACTGTTCCTGGTGTTGGAGTGGGATGGGATGGGGGTGTGGGTGCATAGTTTCTCTATTTGCCTTATAGCCCTTTGCAAATAATTCTGGTTTCTTTTGGAATCAATAGATGATAGTTAGGATGGGGGCATTTGTGACATTAAATTCATGATAGCAAATCTGAACCAGTTCTCTTGTGTTCTCTTGGGTTTTCAGAGTCCAAACTAATAGAATGGGTTCTATTTCTGGGTGCTTCAGGGAGTATTTGAAAGTAATTCTCACCTCTGTCCCACCACAGATATATTGTATATCCGTGTACTACATGTATATATATAGTAATTTTCAAAAATCCTATAAAATTTTCTGATGTCAGTGTATATAAATCTCATTTAAGCTGATTTAAATCCTGTCGCTTTCTTTAGTGGAACTCAAGCATAGAACGTTTGTTATCACAGTTCTTAAAAATGATAATAAGTTCTTCAGAAGTATGTTGCAAGAATCTGTATGGCACATGACGTTATTAAACATTAAATTCCAAAAGAATAGAATCAGACAGGTAAACACACCAACTGCACCATTTCTTAGGTGGGAGACATAAGAGGACTTCCAGCACTTTATCAGTCAGTAAGGATTTGAACTCCTGGCACACCCAAGGATGGATTAGATGAGGTCCTTGCCTAGAAAGCCCTGACAATCTAGTGGGAGGGACAAAATATACACCCAGAGTACTTAGTGATTGAAGATGGTTTTATAATAACATTTCATGCTGATATACAAAGGCAGCTTGGTATAGGTGATAGGGGTGCTGGACTTGGTGACAGGACGACCTGGTTTCAAATCCTGCCTCGGACAGTTACTAACTGTATGTATCTATATTTTCAAGAAATTACCTGGAACTTGACTAAGTCATGGATGGTCTGCGATCTGCTTTGGTAGAGGGAGTTCCCACAAACTCCCACACTGATAAAAGCACAGAACCTTTATGTATTCTATGTTCAAAGTGATATATTAGTGAAACTAGAGAATAGCGAACAGTGGAATGACACAAAGGGGGGAAGGGAATTTAAAAAGAGGTGGAACAATACAATAAAAGAATACAAAGACAGAGAAAAAGAGAAGAAAAATAAGATAACAGAAGAGAAGAGAGGAGGGAAGAGAGCATTTTGGTTTGAAAGAGAATCTGGCAATAAAGGATTAGGAAAGTGTCTGTGTCATAAGATTGACATTGTAGGGCTGGTAATTAAAAAAAAATCTTTGTTCCTTGGGAGATTGTGATGCATGGCTAGCTGACATTATTATTATGTGGTTTAGTTACGTTTTCTCTTGTGTCTACATGTAGGGCAGCATAACAATGAGAAAGAAACCTTACAAACCCAAGGGATAAGAATTACAGTTATTTTAGCCTTCTAGAATTCCTGAGCATTCTAGTTGACCCCATGATTTATTTCATTGCCGTGACTGCTAATTCTCTCCCTCCCAATGAAATCCTGTTGTTTGTCCTAGACTTACCCCAGTGGGAAAGAAATATAGTGGGAAACAGGAAAATTCAGTGGAAAAAAAATTCAAACAGAAATGGATTAGATGGAAAGTCATTTTTCATTTGATTTCTGTAGTAAAATGCGAATGAATATAAAAAAAAATTAATTTTGGAAGTGAATAGTAGCAGTAGAAATTGCTCTAATCAACACCTATTGTTTTTTAAATCACTTGTCTAATAAAAGTACGAATGAGCATAAATTCCTTTGTGTGTTGAGAAGAGGAAGTTTGAAAATTTTTAAACCCTTCTTTGTGCAATATTTGTAAGCTATATAGCATGTACTTAGGTAAAATTATTTTGTTCCTAGTCTCCACCCAGAATTTTACAATTTAATGAACTGTTTTAAACGTTAAGCTGTTTGCATTGCTGTGCATCTCTAACCGCTTCTTGTGTTTATTGTATTGACAGGCCAACTCCAAATGCATGCATATTGTGAAAGCCCAGATGTGGTGCTCTGCGGTAATAAAAGTGACCTGGAAGACCAGAGAGTAGTAAAAGAAGAGGAAGCCAGGGAACTTGCTGAAAAATATGGGTGAGTTTTTTTGTGACAAAGTGAAAAGGCAACTGTTGGGGTTTTAAAAGGTGACTACTATCATATGAATTTGGAGGCTCAGTAAAAATCTGTTATAGGGGCAGCTAGCTGGTGCAGTGGATAGAGCACTGGCCCTGAAGTCAGGAGGACCTGAGTTCAAATGTGGCCTCAGACCAAACACTTGACACTTATTAGCTGTGTGACCCTGGGCAGGTCACTTAACCCCAGTTGCCTAAAAAAAAATCTATTATAATGTTGACCTTTGGAGACACCAGACTACATGTTTTAAGATCCTATTGAAGTGGATTTCATAGAAGAAGGAAGTAGGCTCATGTGCTGTCTGCTCCATTTTATTTTCTTAGGCTGATGGATCCCTGCAGAGAGGAGAATATTAGGCCAGGGTAGAGCTGAGACTAAGTAATCCTTACCTTCAGGGACTTCTGTTCCCTATTTTTAGACTGCTCAATGTCCAAAATGGGGCTGTAATTGCCTTTCCCTTCCCCCTAAGGCATAAACAGGTAAGTATTCTGGAACTAAGGTACTTTCCTTTCTGTTCCTTTGGATCAAAGGAATCCCATCTTTTAGTAAAACAAGTGAAAATTGGAAGCCCAAGGGCCGAGGAGTTGCAATCAAGCCTCCCAAACATGGTCTTGGCTTTAGTCTCTGAACTTTAAGTCCAGAGCAGGGGTGGGGAACCTGCTGCCTTGAGACCGCATGTGGCCTTCTAGGTCCTCAAGTGTGGCCTTTTGACTGACCAAGTTTTACAGAACAAATCCTTTTATTAAAGGTTTTTGTTCTGTGAAGTTTGGATTCGGCCAAAGGGCTGCATGTGAGGGCCTAGAAGGCTACATGTGGCCTCGAGGCTGCAGGTCACTCTCCCCTGTTCCAGAGTGTCTTCTCTCTGAAATTACCTCCCATTTGTCCACAGTTATATGCATGTTGTCTCCCTCATTAGAATGTGAGCTCTTGGAGCACAGGAACCATTTTTTGCCCTTCTTTGCGTCTCTAGTGCTTGACATAGTGTCTGTCATACAATAAATACTTAAATACTAGTTGATGATAATAAATACTTAAATGCTAGTTGAATGACTGACTAAACTAGACTGACTATGCAAGATGAATAGAAGGGATGAGATGTTGGAGAAAGGCACTGGTTAGGAAGAATCCTTTTTGGCTTAGGATGTGTTGATGTGGTGGACAGGCCAGCAAAATATTTTCTGAGATTCTGGTCTGTCTTACTGAATGGCCAGGGGTTTATGGACTAGATTTTTTTAGAGGAGTCACCTGTTACTGTTTGTGAAAGGATCTACCAAAAAGGAAGTTTACTTTTTCCTGATGAAGCTCTCAAATTTCCCTCATTTAGTTGAATGGAAAGCTCCACCTGGGTGTGGCAGTGCACAGGCAAGAGGGTGTGTGTGTGTGTGTGTGTGTGTGTGTGTGTGTGTGTGAGAGAGAGAGAGAGAGAGAGAGAGAGAGAGAGAGAGAGAGAGAGAGAGAGAGAGAGAGAGAGAATGAATACCTTGCTAAGGGGAAAATAAAGTTCTTAAATATTTTAGCCTGAAGTTAAAGGGCTAAGATGGGAATTTTACTCTGTCATTACTTTATTCTCTTCTCAATTTATTCATGGAAACAGCAGAAACTACTTGGGGAAAGTGTGCCAAGAAGCTGTAGGAGATAAGGTTGGCCAAGCAGCATATGTTTAGTCTGTATAGGACTATGATTTTCTTTTTTTCACCAGTTCTGTGATTTTATTGGTATAGAGAATTCCCCCTGCTAATACAGATTGGCACCTGCCCTGTAACTAGAATTGCCTGGAGGCACTAATAGATTAAGTGACTTGCCCACGGTCACATAGACAGTAGATGTCAGAGGCAGGACTTGAACTTTTTTTTTTCCACTGACTTTGAGGTTAGCTCTCAATCCACCATGCCAGATCACCTCATGAATATTTCCTTATGGAATGTGGACTTTGTTCTGTAGTTAGTGGAGAGTCATTGAGGGTTTTTGAGTAGGGAGTAATGCGAAATCAGTGGCATTTTGTTTTTTTGTTTTTTTTCAAAGGAAGATTAGTTTCAGGGCAGTGTTCAGTATAGGTAGGAAGGATGAGAGCTGGAGACCAGAAGACCAGTTTGGAGTCGACTGTAGTAATACAGGCATGAGAAGATAAAGATTTAGATTAAGGGGAATGAGATATAAGAAAAGGCCATTAGATTTTATAATTATGAAGCCATTAGTTGTAGTTTGAATGATTTAAGTAGACTGGTGAAGATGGAAGCCAAATTACAAAGGGTTAAGAAAGAAATGGATGGTAAGAAAATAGAGGCAGTGAAAGGAAGGAGCAGAATAAGACTATATGATCTACAAGGTCCTTCCAAGGTCAAAAGTCTATGATTCCATTAAGATAGTTGGGTCAAGCAATTTTTTTACTTCCCAAGACGAGACAGAGGAGGGAAGAGCTGTGTGTGTTTGAAGAGAGAGACGGAAGTATCCAGGGGAGAGGGAGATATTGGGTGGACAGTACAGGAAGATGGAGGTAAGCATGACAGAGAGGATCCTCAGGAATTTGGAAGGAATCAAATCTAGGCTAGAGGCTGAGGAGTTGGTCTTAGGAGACTAATGGGGGACTGGTTAATGAGGGCCCATCCTGGAAGCAGGCTCCTCAAACATCCTTTTGGGTCCTTTGAGCCTGCTTGAGAGGATTGCTGTAAAGAAGTATATTTTGGGTAACATTGAGGATGGCTACGATAGCATCAAAATAGTTGGCGTTGATTGCTGAGGTTGGGGGTGATGCAGAAAGAGAAGATGGGATTGGATCTAGAGATTTAGAAGAGTCAGTAGAGGTGATGCTCTAGGGAAATGTCATAAATAAATGATTGGCAACAAGGAAAGTAAAGTTTTTATCATTGTTATCTTTTCTAAGTCATGCTCCTTTCTTTCAGAAACTTGTGCTATTTTTTTTTAACATTCTGAAAGTAGGCATCGGTATACCTTTTCTCGAAAGATAAAACATTTTCAGACAAGTAGTTAACCAAAAAGCAGTACTACATTAGCACCATCTTGTGGAGGAAAGTGAATAATACAAAACTCCAGTATGTCCTTGGATACAACTAATTCTATATAAATACAAAGTGTGTAATTGATTGAAGGCTTCAGTTCTTAAGCTAAGCCAAACAGTAATGAGACATTCAAGAAGAAAAAAAGCCTGGAGTTTGTCTCTGAAATAATTTATGTGTTTTCTAAACATTTTTCACTTACAGAATAATTTTACTTATAGAATAAAATGTTTGAAATAAAATGCCCTTATGTCCTCAAAGTGATTCTAGGAATTATGCAGTAGGAAGACTGCATATGCATAGTATCAGTGTTCACTCAAGTTTTTATATAGGGCATTCCAAAAATCTTAGTGCAGTTTTAAGCTTAAAACTGCACTAAGGTTTTTGGAATACCCTGTGTACTTGAGGACAAGTAACAGAACTCTTAATGGCAAATACAAGATTAAGTCTAGGGTGGATGGGAGAAAGGGTACTGTTATCTAGAACAGGATTTCTTAACCTCTTCGTGTGTCATGGCCATCTTTGGCAAGCTGTTGAAACCTATGGATCCTTTTTCAGAATAATGTTTTCAGATAACTAAAGGAAATGTTAAATTTCATATGGAGGTTAGTAGGAATAAAGATGTAATTATTTTCCCATCAAAGTTCATGGACCCCTGCAATCTATCCAGGGACTCCTTGGGATCCTCATACCCCAGGTTAAGAACCTCTGATGGAGAGGTTGGTGGACATATTTCCATCTACTCTATTCTGTCAGTAGGATCCATTTGTTTCTGTAAAAACTAGGAAGGAGGAATTTTTGATTCTGCTTTTGAACACTGTCAGATGAAATAGAAATTTCAAAATACAGCAAATATAGCCTTCTTTACAAAAAGTATCTGAAGACATAATCAATTCCCTCTTTGGTATAAATGAAGTAGGAAACTCAGGATGAAGAAAATTCAAGACTTTCTTCCTAGTGTTCTAAAGTCAGAAGTTCTCTTTTGAAACACTGCCATGAAATGGGGAGGAAATTTGGAACTCAAAATCTTATAGAAGTGAATGTTGAAAACTAAAAATAAATAAATTTAAAAAAAAGAAACACTTCCATGAAGAACTGCCTAATGACCATGATCAAATAATCAAATATTGCAAGGAACCGTGTGTGTGTGTGTGTGTGTGTGTGTGTGTGTGTATGTGTATGCATGCATTTGTGTGTGAACTCTCAGTGGTTTCACTTATAGACAGAAAGATCAGAAAAAATATGTGCTAAGAGCTTGTAGTGTTTTTGTAGATCACTACAGTAGTTTGCCTCTTTGCAACATCCACCTGCTGTTCCTACTTTTACTCTCCAGGACCAAGCAGGACAAGTCTGATACTTGGAATATGAATGTCAGGCACTCCCTAAGTCTTCTCCAGTCTAAAGCATCACTAGTTTCTGACTTTAAAAATTATTATTATTAAGCTCATTGCATTATTTCCCCCAGCAGAAATTCTCTGAGCAGGTCTCTTTCTTTGAGCTAGAATTTAAACAGGTAATAGACCTATGAAAGAATGAGTCAATGAATCACTCTCATGTTATGTACTAAATGATGGACAAACATGCAGGTTCAAAGACAGCTAGTTTTTCTTTTACACAGGTTCATTGAAACAAAATATCCAGTCTACAGAACATATGAATTATGGAAAATCCTATAGAATACAGGGAAGAGTAAAATATTACTGCATGATAATACAATATGAAAGAAAGATGGGAGAAAATGGATAAATAGCTAAACATTTAAAAAGAATCCATTCTGTGGGTATCTGTGTAGCCTTAGTGTTATCCTTAACTGACTCATCTCCCTTTCTGTTCATACATATCTTGGATGATACATTTATGACACTTCTTTGATATAAGTTAACATTGTTAACGTGTTGTAAGCTACTTGTGCCTACCATGCATCTTTGGATCACTTGTGATCTTGATTGGAGACTGTAGTTTTTCATGATTTGTCACCATATAGCATCCCTGGAAGAACACTGGTATTAAAAAGATGGTTTTTTGTTTTGAGCTGGTGCTTGGGATCATTGGAAGTGCCATTTGATCCCTCAGATTTAATCCAGCCTTCTCTGTCCTGCCTCTTCAATCCTGGGTCACTGTTCATCTTCTAAGATAGATGTACTGAAGGACTAATCCAAGGAATTTCCTCCTACTTACATAACATGACTTGGACAATAGGGATTCTTCATCCATTTAGTTTTTCTTGTGTGAGATATTAGGCTAATCTCTTTGGAGAGATCATGAGAAAATCTTACAGTTTTGGGGGGACTTGATGCAATCATAACATCATGTGCAAGCAGTAACTTCTGGAGGAGTTCGCCATCTAAAGGAAATCTCTCTTCTATTTGAACACTATATAGGGCATTGTCTATGTTAGAGGTAAGCACATTTGGTGAATGCATATCTCTTTCTGCTTTGCATATAGAGCTATAGCCAATGAATGGTTGAAGAAATTTCTCCCTAGTTATACTCATCAAGGAATTTTCTCTGATCTCAATATATACACGACAGACCTTAGACTGAAGTAAAATCTTTAAGGCTGTATTTTGATCACCTGAATAAAATGTTATTTTTTAATTTAAAAAACCTATAAATTACTGGATTTTATATTCTTAGTCAATTGTGTGACTGTGCAGATATGATCTGCTGTATAAAATTATTCATGAGACCCTGCCTGTTGCCTTCTCTTTTCATGATTTTGACCCTTGATGCATCTATAGATCATTTTCATAAAAAAATTTTTAGATGTAAGAAAGCACACACATGGGTTATTACTGTTCTCTTCATCACCTTCTTTGATGCTATCAGATTGTTCACTATCTTTCCTGTTTTTGCAGTGTCTTGAAACTGAACCCCTCAATGCTTTCAATGTGTCTCCTCAACATAGATTTCTTCTGGGTATTCTTGTTTGGTCCAGCTGTTTTTCCTAGCTTCATTTTCTTTAGTGCCATTTACACTTCCTCATCTGACTGCAGATAGACTGAAGTGTTTAGTGCTTCTCTTGTAGATGATGCAAATAGGTCATCACAGAAGTGTTGTCAGGTGTTCTTTTTTTATCTTTTGTTCTTTTATCAGTTTCACATATAAATGTTCTTGGAATGATTTGGCTTGGTTGAGTTTTCTTTTCTTTTTGCAGTTTTATGAGGTGATACTTCTCATAATCTTATCCCCCCTTTAACATTTAACAAATGAGCCAACATTTTGCAAATGAATTTATATTTTATGCTGATATTGACTGCCAGACCTTTCTCTCCATCCAGTTTTTATTAGTTAAAGCCATTTCTGGCTCTTCTCTCACAATCTACTGTATTTTTCTATTAAATTCCTTTCATAACTAGTCTCATGCTTTGAAATTGGTAATCAGTGCTGGTATCATTTCCTTAGTTTTTATTTTCCATTTTTTGTTATTAGTATTTGGTTTGACTAGTTTAGTACTGACTTTGACCTTTGTATTCTATGGTCTGGCGTATACATTTACTGAGAAAAGATTCCTATGTTGATAACCAGTTTATTTCCTATTGCCCAAGATCAGTTTAATTTATTTTTAAAATGTTATTTAGTGGGCCAGCTAGGTGGCACAGTGGATAGAGCACCGGCCTTGAAGTCAGGAGAACCTGAGTTCAAATGTGGTCTCAGACCAAACACTTGACGCTTACTGGCTGTGTAACCCTGGGCAAGTCACTTAACCCCAACAAAAGAACCCAACAAAACTAAAAACCGTAACAAAACAAAAGATGTTATTTAGAGCTTGCCACTGACTTCTGAGTCTCTTTTGGAAGAAAATCTTCATGACATGACAGTCTCAGAATGTATTTGCAGTATTTTTTCATTATCCTCTCTTGAATGCTCACTTTCCCACTGAAGTCACCAAGTGTCAATGTTGACTTCGTTTGGAGGATTTTGTTAAGCTATTTGGGAAGTTTCTCTTCCACTTCATCTATTTCATTGCAACAGATGTTTGCACAATAGCTGCCATTATCCTCCCTGCAGATACATACTTACCCAAAGGAAGGGAGATGCCAAAGCCAATTTCTTCAGTAGCCACTGAATCTACATCAAATCATGCATTTTTTTTTGGTCAGACATTCTTTACCAAATGGCTCATGTAACAATAAACTGTTTTTCTTTCTTTTTTTTTTTTTGAGGAGGGAACACCGGGATAAAAGTATTTCAACTTATAAATACAGAAGAAAATAACATGAAATAATATATTAAGAAATGGGAAGAATTTTGTTATTCACTTTTGTTGACTGTGAAAATTCTTGAATCCAAGATTCTAAAGCAGGAATGTATGAAGTGTGATTATGATAAAACATTTAAATTTTAATAGCTTAAAGCTATATTAAGTCTTTTGAGATACCTTGCATAAGCCACAGAACAACTTCGTTACTTTGAACTCCTATCTCATAAGTACTAATAGCAAATTTACTGCATTTGACTAGGTTACAAAACTAACAATGCACTTAGAATTTGTTATGGAAAGTCACTTCCAAATATTACTAAACATTGTACATTTTCAACTGCAACAGGAATGTAGTCTGAAACTCTGCTCAGTGTTTTTCTTTTGAAAAATATTGGATGACATTTTAAAAGTCTTATTTTGATGCTCTTCTTTACAAACATTGCTTGCATTTCTCAATACAGAGCTGATTTTTCTGCTTACACCTCCACCTTGCCCCTCACAAAACCTCCAACGTGGGCTATGTTAGGCCATTCAGCCTTTCCTCCCCTCCCTTCTTTTCTGCTTCTGACCCCTTCATATTCTACTACATGTGAAAGATTTTGCTGTATGCATGGGAATGCATCAAATGAAGAGAGAATGGTTGGGTAAAATTTCTCCTTTCAGAAGCCCATTAAGAGGATAAAAATGAAACTTAAAAAAGAATCAGAAATTGTTGCTGATAGCTCAGAAAATGAGAATAATTAAATAAACTTTATACATGGACAAAGTTATATCTGATGAGATTTCTTCCCCCTGACTTTCTCTCCCCCTCCACCACTTTTCCTTACCTATTAATTCTCTGAAAAGGAATCTTTTCTGTATTACTTTTACATGGGTAGAAGACACCAGTTGAGAAAATAGAACGACTTTCTTCATTTCACAAAAGGCAATAAGGAAGCAGGCAACTTGGGTTATCCTTTCTGTTCTGCTTCTTACTAGCAGTGTGACCTTGGACCTCAGTTGCCATACCAAGCTAAAGGCACTGGGATGAATCTCTTGGGATCACTTCAGTTCTAAGCTCTGTGATTCCATAATAATAAAATTTCCTATGTTCTTAAGATTTTGCCCCACTTCTCACAAAGAGAATAGTCAATAATAGTAGTCAATAAATCTCCATATTGATTATAATAAAAAGATGTTAAATTCCTTGAAGTTCAATAGTTGGCAGATACATTTATAACAGAAACTAAAGATGCTTAAAATAAATTTGTAATAATTATTTGATTTATTTGAATAATGTATTATTTGAATATACCATACTGATGTTTGGCATAGTAGGAAGAACATGGGATTTGGAATTAGGAGCAGAGCTGTAACTAGCTGAAAGAAATTTGTTTTAGGAGTCGTGAACACAGTCCCATTGTTGGTGCAGTGGGTAGCTCATGTTCCATTGAAGCCTGGCTTTTGCCCTCATGGGGCTTGACCTGTATGATGGGAAGATTTCTTTTCTTTTCTTTTTTTTTTTTTTTAGGCAATTGGGGTTAAGTGACTTACCCAGGGTCACACAGCTAGTAAGTGTTAAGTGTTTGATCTGAGGCCAGATTTGAACTCAGGTTCTCCTAACTTCAGGGACGATGCTCTATCCACTCTGCCACCTAGCTGCCTGGAAGATTTCTAAACTAACAAAATAACTTTAGATCTTTAAAGGCTACCAACAGATTAAGTAATGTCCATATTTATATTTTTATAATTTGTTATAACATTACTCCCTTCCCCTGCCCCTAAAAAATGGGGTTGGGGAAAGAAATTTTTTTTTTGCATGCCTTTCAGAACTTCAACAAGTTTTATATCTCTTTTCATGTGTGCAGAGTGGATTACCTAAGTTTCTGAAATAATGAAATTTATTTTCCTTTATTTTATTGCCTCTTTTGCTTCTTTGACAGAAATCATCTGGGTAAAAATTATAGGTAGCTAGGTGGCACAGTGAATAGAATGCTGCTGGGTCTTGGAGTCGGGAAGACCATAGTTCAAATTCAGCCTCAAACACTTACTAGCTAAACTGTTAGATGGGGATAATAATATCACCTACCTTGCAGGGTTATTGTGAGGATCAAATGAGCTAATAATTGAAAAGCACTTAGCATAGTGCCTGGCACATAGTAAGCACTATGCAAATGTTAGCTATTATTGCAGTTGTTGTTATACCTATACTTCTATGTATATGCAAAATTGAGCAGTAAAATAGGAAATGGAGATAGTCTGAGACCCACAGGGCATTAACCCAAGTGTGCTCTGTCTTCCAGAATCCCCTACTTTGAAACCAGTGCTGCCAATGGCACCAACATAAGCAAGGCAATTGAAATGCTCCTGGACCTGATAATGAAAAGAATGGAACGGTGCGTGGACAAGTCCTGGATCCCTGAAGGAGTTGTTCGGTCCAATGGCCACAGCTCCACTGAGCATTTAAATGAACACAAAGAAAAAGGTGGATGTGGCTGCTAAAAAGTAAAGTGAACTGAGTCAAGTAACCTGTGTATTTTTATATAATTTTAAAAAATAGTTTCTATGTGGTACAGTTGCAGCTGAATGGATCTCCATCAGGAATTACGAGACCAGAAAATAGTATTTCCTAACTGATTTAACTGAGTGCTGCTGGGTAATTAAAAAAAAAATTCAGCCTGGGATTTAACTGAAACACGTATTTATCATGCTTATTCCATGATAGTCATTCATTCAGGGATCCAGCATTTTGCAGCAGTAACAGTCTGTAAAATTACATGTGTTACTGTTAGATCCAATAATACAGTCGTGGAATTTATAGCTAGAAGAAACTCTCAGAGATCTTCCAGCTCTGAAATTTTTTTTTTTCATGGCTACTTACAGGTACTTGGTGTAGGGACACTGAGTATCTCCTGTCTGGTGGCATTATAAGCAACTAAAAAAATTATTTAGGGAATTCTTGAGACTGTATTTATAAAACAAAAACCAAAACCAAGTATTCTACTGTATGTAAGCTGAAGTTGTAAAGCTGATTTTTCAGAATCTCCAATTGTACCATATAAGCAACTAAAAAAATTATTTAGGGAATTCTTGAGACTGTATTTATAAAACAAAAACCAAAACCAAGTATTCTACTGTATGTAAGCTGAAGTTGTGAAGCTGATTTTTCAGAATCTCCAATTGTACCATTATGAAATTATAAAATACCATCTATGCCACTTGAATGATAAATTAGAAGGCACACACATATACATACACACACGTCCAGTTAGTTTCAAATGTAAGGGGGACAGTGATCTGGAGATGATTATAGAAATGCAGGGCAAAACTTGCTGTACCTTTGACCTCTCCAGTATTGTTCAGTGATGTTATGGGGTAATTTGTGTAACCTTAGCTCTGCTGTGATGGGAGCTGGAAGTAATTTACTTATCCTCACCTTAAGCAAACAGTAAGTGGGTCTGAGCTAGTTCTGCTGAAAGGGAAGCAAAGGAGAGATTTTTTGGAATTTTACCCCGATTCCCACCCACAATGAAACCCAGGTTGCTGTCCACTTTACATATGACTTCCATATGTCTTAGTAGGAATATGTGCTAGGCTGTGTGACTGTGGATTAAATGGACCAAGATCCCAAAGCCATTTATTTTAATATTTTGGGTATTGTCTCAATGTTATATGAGCAGTAAAATTGGTGCTTCTGACTTTTCATTGTGTCTCCACCATAGAGAATACAGCATAATTGTATTTTTGGGCCTAATTCACTTTGGTGGACTCAGTTATGTTTGGCCAGCAAATTTTGTGTTTTATCATAGCTGGTGCTTTGCACTGAAATTATTTGTAAACAAGAAAACATGTTGAACAATTTCTTTCAAATTTAAGTTAAATTCCTAACATTGGTCTGGCTGCCAAGTGGTTATGCCTTAAATGAGTTAATTTTAAGCCTGTAAACCAAGTAATCTTCCATTTAAACCCTGGGCAGTAAGTAGCTGACGTTTGCAAAATTCTTTCTTATTTCTTTACTAGAAGAATCAAAGGAGTTAGTATTGATTTTACTATTTTAGTAGAAGGCATATTTTTTTTTTGCTGCTTTTAAATTCTCATTTTATTTCCAATTCAGTATAAAAATGATAGTAAGTATTTATTTTGCAGTCTTTTTTGCCAGTGTCACCATGCACTGTGCATCTGGACATGTAACTCCAATACCTTGCCAAAGTGTCTTTATACCAAATTTAAGGTGGTTTGCAGGTTCTTTTTAGGCATTTTCATAGCTATTTGTTTACAAAAATCAAAATCATTTCTTTCAGGAGAATATTTATTAAAAATTTCAATAAAGAAATGTAAACTCCTTAGAAAATCTAGTGGCCAGCTAGTCTGTGATAATATTTAATATATTTTTAGATTAAAAATAAAATGTATTGCATAGATCATATAATGTTTGGTTAAAATTGAGAAAATGAAATTATGAAAAAATAATTACTTTTACAGAATAACTTTCTGATGAATTTTTAAATGCAGTAAAGTATAGGGCTTGCCTCCTGCCTCTTGCTTTCTAAAATATGGTGTACTTTTCCCCCCTGCTATAAGTAATATACAAATACTAAATTTTTATTCTGATTTGCACCTGAAATGTCTGAGAGAACTTCTTTCAGAAGTGGACAGTGGTAAAGGCTTGTGCATATACTGTATTTTGTATTGTTATAATGTGCAATTCCAAGGAATAGATCCTGAAATCACTGGATCAAGTTCAAGTTTACTAAGTAGTGCTTTCTGAAGGTGCTACGATAGAGTAAATGATGTTAGTATAAACCAGAATGTGTACTGTAAGATAATTTGTAAATTTTAAAATAGATATATACACATGCTACACTTGTATGTTGTGTATGTAACCTGCTGATATATGTCTGGGATTGATTCATCTCTCAAGGCAGGTTATATGTGGTCATACATGAATATTTAATTTTAAAGAACTACATGCATAATTAGCTGCCCACTCCATTAACCTTAAAGGAAAGCTAAAGTTTAAATCTCATGCCATTCTTTCAAAAGTGTTATATGCCCACACAAGAGCCAAGTTTAGCTACTGAAATAAATGATGTCCATTTTCTTGGGGAGTCATTTGTTTAGGTTTGATATCAAAGTGCCATATTTTTGTCCTACAACATATTTTTCTATTTATAGTCTTACGTAAAGAGTAAAATGTATCTTTAATGAAACAGCTTTAACCTTGTGTCACTTATACATATTATGCATAATTAAAAAAGGTCTATCAAGTTTGTATGTGAATTTGACTTCTAATTGTACCTAAATTTTAATTAAGGGTTCAGAGTATTCCTTGGAAAAGAAACTTCTCTTTTAGTTTTATTAAAACATGCCAGTCTCTAGGTGACAACTGCTATGTGCATTGAATACCAGATGGGTGACCAGGTAAGTATGGCACTACATTTAGGGCAGGATAATCTAACTCTTTTCCTATACCTCCAAATCAAGAGTATCATTGTAGTCTGGTCCCCTAATACTGACCAAAAAGGTCCACAAAATGCCAGGCATAATAAGGAGAAGATATTGGAGAAAGCAAAGAAAACAGTACATCTGACTTGATATAAAACTATATTTCAGGTATACCTGGATTAATGTGTTTAGTTCTGGTTGGTGACCTCTAAGAAAAATGTAATGGAGCTAAAGAGGACTGAGAAAGGGATAGTAAAAACTGGGCATTTATAGCAACTCTGAGGTGCAAGGCACTGTGATAGCTGATGAGAATCCAAAGGTGAAAAAACAGTCCTTACCTTCAGGTAGCTTGTCTTCAGGTAGGAAGAATTATGACATGTACACAAGGAAGCACTCCAGAATGTAGAATAGGAGAGCAGTGAAGGAGAGTTTCAGGCAAAATGATCTGGGAGGATCTGGAGAGTGATTATCTTCAGCAGGTATGAGCAGGGAAAGCTTCATGGCGGAGGTTGCAACCTGGGCTTGGCCTTGAAGAGGGACGACTATGTCAGTCAATCAGTCAACAAGTATTTATTGTCTGCTGTGTGCTGTGAGAGGCAGCATGGGATATAGAGAGCTAATCTCAGCTAGTTAGACCTAGTTAGGTTCACGTGCCTCTGATACATATTATTTATGTGACTGCCTCTGACCTGTCTCTATGTGAACCTGGGCAAGTGCTCTAGGCAACTTTCTTAAGACTATTTTCCAGGGAAGGTGCTTGACCTGTATATTAGTAGAGGAAGTTCCTCATCAGGAGTTTTCTCTGCCAGTGAAATGATGGGTCCAGTCCCTGTCTCTACTACGTATTAGGCACGCGTTCAGCACTGGCTGTACAAAGACAAAAATGAAATAGTTCTTGGCTGTCAAGGAGCATACATTCTATCAAGTGAGATAGTGCAGATATTTAAACACAAAAAATAAATACAAGGTAATTGGGCCAGTCAAGGATCTGAAAAAGTTTCACGTAGGAGGTGGGTAGTTCAGCTCAGCTTTGAGGGAGGCTAAGAAATCTAAGGGGCAGAGGTGAGGAGGGAATGAATTCCAGGCATAGGAGACAGCCCATGTAAATTCATGGACACAGGAGATGCAGTGTCACGTGGGGAAAAGCCAGGCCAGTTTGGTTGGACTGTGAATGAAGAAGCATAATATCTAATGCTTGTGGAAAGGTAGGCTGGAGCCAGCATGTGAAGAGCTTTAAATGTCAGACACAGGAAGTATGTATTTGATCTGAGAGGCAACATGGAACCCCTGTTGCTTCCTGAGCAGAGGAATGACATGCTCCAACCTATTCTTTACAACAGCACTTTGGCAGCTGTGTGGACGATGGAGTGGAAAGGAGAAAGGATGGAAACTAATTAAGGAGGTGAATGCAATGATCTAGGTGAAAGGTGATGAGATTTTGAACTAGGGTGGTATTTGTGTGAACAAAGAGAAGGGGAAAATGTGAGATATTACTGGGATGGAAGTAGTTAAGATTTGGTAACTGAATGCAGGGTGAAGTGAGAGTTGATGATGATCCTAAGGTTACGAATCTGAGTGGCAAAGGAAGATTCTGCCCTTGACAGAAATAGGGAAGTTAAGAAGGGGAATAGGCTGGATGGGGAAACATAATGATTTCTATTTTAGACGTATTGAGTTGAAGATACTTATAGTATATACAGCTCAAAGTGTCCAGTAGACCGTTGATGACATGAGACTGGAACCTGGGAGAGAGATTATGGCTTGATTGATACAGATCTTGGCATCATTTGCATAAAGATGATAATTAAACCCATGGAAACTGATAAGATTGCCAAATGAGAGTACATGGAAGGAAGAGAGAAGCCCCAGTACAAAGACTTGGGTTCTATCCACACTTAGGAGACAGGAGGATATGGATAATGTTGCAGCAAAGGAGAAAGAGGAGTAATCATATTGGTAGAAGGAGAAGCAAGAGAGAGAGAGAACAGTGTTGTGAAAACCCAGAAGGGAGAGAATATCCAAGAGAAGGTTAGTCAACAGTAATATATGCTTCAGAAAGGTCAAGCAGGGTGAGGTTTGAGAGAAGACCAGTAATGATAAAGGAATGTGCTCTGTCTGCATCTCTGTGAGAGGTGGCCTGCATGTATACACACAGGCAGGAGATAATATAGTGAGTCTGAGGAATAGCTAGCACTGCAGTTTAGTTGCAGTGTAGAGTGTATGAAGTGAAAATAAGTCCCGTGTGTGAAATAAGACTGGAAAGGTAGGTGGGAACCAGATTTTGGTAAGTCTTAAATCTAGACTAAGGAACTTGTATTTTTTCCAATAGGCAGTTGGAGCCACAGCTCCATTTAGAGCCAAGGTTTTTGAGAGGAAGGATGACATGGTTATTTCTTTGTATTAGTAATATTATTTTGGAAGCTGTGTGACATATGGACTAGAGAGGGGGTAGATACTTGAGTGATAATCCAGATGAGGTATGATGAGAACCTGAGCTAGGGCAGTAGCTGTGTGAGTAGAGAGATGTGTACGAGATTTGTAAGATATTTTGGAGGAAGAATTAGAAGAACTTGGTAACTGATTGGTGGTAGTAAGGAAGGAAGAATAAAATGTCTTTGAGGTTTTGAGACAGACAATATGGTGGTGCTTTCCAGAGCAATACTGGAAGTTTAGAGGTGGAGGGGATGAATTCCATTTTGGACATATTGAGTTGAGGTGCTGTTGCAACAAACAGGGAGATGCCCATGAAAAGGCATCTGGAGATATGTGATTGGAGCTGACAAGAGAGATCTGGGCAAGATGTGAATTGGGAAGTCCTTAACATAGACGTGACAATTGAAGCCATAGGAATGGATCCAGAACGTCAGGCCATTGCCTGTTCCTGCTAGCCCTTGTTCTGTATGCCTCCTTCCTTCCTCTAAATTACTTGAAAAAGCTGTTTGAAATCAGTGCCTTCACTTCCTTTTCTCTCATTCTCTTCATCCAACCTCATTCCTCAACTAAAACTGCTTTCTCTGGTTACCGAGTCTCCCTTAATTGCCAAATATAAGTTTGTTTGTTGGTTTTTTTTCTCAATCCTTATCCTTCCTGACTTCTCTGAAACATCTGTCACTGCTGTCAGCCTCTCCTCCTGAACATTCTCTCTTCTTCGCGTTTTTATGACATTACTCTTTTCTAGGTGGAAGAAGAAAGAGTGTGAGAGTTTGAGGGATTTGGCAGGGTCAAGGAGAAAGTATTTTTCTAGGCTAGGGAAGACTAAGCACGTTTGTAAGAAGATGTAAAGGAGTCAGTAGACAGGAAAAAATTGGAGATAAGAAAAGGAGAGGGAATAATTGATGTTGTAGATTCCTAAAAGAGCCATAAAGAGATGGGATAAAGGACCCATGGGAAGGAGTCTGTACTGAGGAGGAGGAGGAGGGCCTCTTTACCTTCTGAGATTGGAGCAAAGAAGGAAAGGATGGATGTGGTCAGAGAGATTTTGAAATATGTAGAATAGGTGATGATGGCATTCCTAGTATAGTTCCAATCTCAGTAAAGGATGTGAGGTTATTTACAGAGAAGGGTTGAGTTGGTTTCTTGAGGAGAGAAGAGGTTTGCTACAGTTATTATGAAGAGTAATAAGGAATCCATTAGTGATGAATAAAAAAGATTGCTGTGTGAAGGACCAATTGAACAATGGATGGGGCTGTATGGATGAGGAAAGACTTAGCATATTTATTCTGTCTGGAAAGAAGAAGAGATTCCTCAATAACAGTGATAATAGCTTATATTTTTTTCTTAGCACTTTAAGGCTTTTCTCACAATACTCCTATGAAGTAGATGGTACACGTATTACTATCCTAATTCTATACATAAGGAAACTGAGGCTTGAAGATATTAGTATAGTGTAGTGGAAAGAGTGCTATAATTTGAATTAGGAGACCTGGGTTCAGAAACAGGTTTTGGCACTAGCTGGGTGACCATGGGTAAGTCAGTTAACTTCCCTGAACTTTAATTTCTTTATAAAATGCATGTGATAGTATTTTTGCTGCTTTCCTCACAAGGCTATTGTCAGATAAGCACTTTGTAAATTATAAAGCATTATTTAATATGAGTTGCCCAAATTTGTATAGTTAGTAAACAAATCTTGAACTCAGTCATATTCTGTAGGTCCTGTGCCCTTTCCATTCTACTAGACTGGCTTTCTACAAAACCATGAGGGAAATGAATAGAGTGAGCATGGACTGGTTCACCAAATCCTCGAGGACTGTTTCAAATTCAATTCTACAGCATTTCTTAAATGTTTACTTAGCACTATATACTAGGTGCCCCTTGATGTTTGAAAAGATTCATTTTGTCTTAAATTTATCTTGACCACACACAAAAAAACCAAAAAATAATTTCATACGTAGATTGTATTAGACTTTGAGGCCACATATTGTAATGGAACACACACTGGGCTCAGAGTCAGGAGACCCTTATCTCTTTTTTTACTGGCACATTCTTTGTTTTGGGCAGAGATGGTATGCCTATCAAATGTGTAGAAGATACAAAAAAGTTAGGAAGGATAGCTAACATATTAAATTATGTAAGAGTCAAAAGGATCTTAAAAGAGTTCACAACAGAGGCAGTAAGGCAGATTTCAAATGTATACAAAGAAAGTTTCCTAATGATTTAGAAGGACCCAAATGTGTAATGGACTAGAGACATGCAATGGGTACCTTACTACTGGAGGCCTTTCCAAGGAAACTGGATGACCAGTTTTAAATATCAGAGAGGAGATTCCTACTCAGGTACCTAGATGTCCTGCAAGGGGTCCTCTCTTCGATCTCAGGACTGTACCCAGGGAGGTATTTGGGGAGCATTGTCCTTGAGACTCTAGGTGGAAGTCCCTTAATGTCTGCCTCCCCTTCTTACAGTGTCATATCCTCAGTCAGCAAGCATTTACTAACTGCCTACCATGGACCAGGCACTGCGGATCCAAAGACAAAAAAGGAAATATTTTCTGTTTTTAAGCTTACATCCTACCAGAAAACACAACAGGGGCAGAAATAAGTACGTACAAAGTGTATACAAGGTAATTATTTTTGGTGGGGGGAGGTGCTAGCATCTGGGGGGTGGGGCAGAGATCCAGAAGACTTAAAGTAGAAGGTTGTCCTTAAGATGAGCTTCAAAGGAAGCTAGGGAGTTGAAGAGTTGAGGAAGGAATAGATTCCAGGCAGGGGCATATGCAAAGCTAGAAAAGGAGATGAGTTGTCACATGTGAGGATCAGCAAAGCCATTTTGGCTGGATGTAGAGCATGTGAAAAAGTAATATATAACAGGGCTGGAAGTGTAAATTGGAGTCAGGCGATTAAAGCCAGGCTTTAAATTCCTGACAGAGGAATTTGCATTTGATCTTCCAGGTAACACAAGTTAGTAGTGTTTGTTGAGCAGGGGAGGGATGTTGTCAGATTTGTGTTTTAGGAATATGACTTTGGCAGCAGTATAAGGGATAGACTAGAGAAAGGTAAGACTTGAAACAGGCAAATCAATTTGGAAGCTATTGCAATAGCCAAGGTTAGAGTTGATGAGGGCCTGCAATAGGATGGTGGACATAAATAGAGAGGAGACAGGTAAGATATCATGACTTGTCAACAAATGGGGAAACTGGGGAGTCAAGGATGATTCTGACTTTGAACATTATGAGATATGTAACTTATAATTAATGCTGGGGCTTCACTAAGACAAAATTCTGCTGTAGGCTCTGACTTGGAAAGCAGCTTTCTCCTCTCAGTTCCTCTTCTCTTCTTTGTTCCTCTGTGCTGCCTTCCAAGGACTAAGGGTCATTCTTTATTAAAATCTTCTGGGTGTACTCGGCAGTCTGTTGAACCAGACCTAGGTCATAGGGTTGTTGGCTCCTCCGTATTATTAGGTATCTATCCATAGTATTATTATTATTAGGTATATTATCCATAGTATGAGGTAGAGTTGGGAGTTTCTACCAAGCTGACATGTCAGGGAGATGGTGCTAGGGCTTTGAACATATAAGATCCTTTTGCCCATGTCCCTTTTCTTTCTGTGTGGTCTTTATTTCCTCAAAGTATAATAGAATGCCCTTCATATAGTAGGTATTTAATAAATGTTTGTTGAATGGGACTTGGGGTTCCTGTCTTCACTGTGCTAGTGGCCCTAGGCTAGCTTTCATAGGAATAAAGAAATTAACCTCATTGGGAAGGCTGAAGTAGAGAAAACAGCTGTACTGTATTTGGAATACAGGACTCAGGTTGTTGGTATCTTGGGTTTTTTGCTTGCTACCTATGTGACTTTGTGGTAGACTGGAAATGATGCTGGATTTAGAAGAGCAGTTTCTCTTGTAAGGGTCTGGTATCAAAGATATATTATCAGCACTTAACACATATTCCTATACACATATGTTATATGCACATATATGACCAAAAGCCATTCTTCTGTGTGTTCAAATGATATGAATGAGCAGTTCTCAAAATAATTGCAATCTATTAGCTATGTAGAAAATGCTTCAAATCACTAATAATAATATAAATGCAAATTTTAAAAAACCATGAGGTTTCACTTCATACTGTGCAAACTGGCAAAGATGAATAAAGATGCAAATGGTAAGTGTTGGGGGGGCTGTAGAAAGATAGGTACACTAATGCATTCTTGCTGGAGCTGTGAAGTAGTACAACCATTTTAGAAAGCAATATGGAATTATGCAAATAAAGTGACTAAAATATCCATACTCTTTGACTCAGAGATTCCTCTACTAGGCTTATACCCCCAAGAATGCAATTGATAAGAAAGTCCCCTATATACACCAAATTATATATATATATATATATATATATATATACACACATATATATGCATATATATGTATATATATATTCACATATACATATGATACATATTTATAACAGCATTTTGTGTGTGTGTGTGTGATAGCAAAGAACTGGGATCAAAGTAGATGTTCATTAACTAGGGAGTGGCTCAACAAATTGGGGTACGTGAATGTAATGGAATGTTACTGTGCTGTAAGAAATAATGAATGGGACAGATGCAGAATAGTGTGGAAAGATCTAGATAAACTGATGCAGAGTGAAGTAAACAGAGCCAAGAAAACAATATACATCATGACTTGTTATGGTCCATGGGATTTTCTTAGCAAAGATACTGGAGTGGTTTGTCATTTCCTTCTTCAGTGGATCAAGGCCAGCAGAGGTTAAGTGACTTGCCCAGGCTCATACAACTAGTAAGTGTCTGAGGCCATATTTGAACTCAGGTCTTCCTAACTTCAGGCCCAGAGCTCTATGACCACTGAGCCATCTAGCTGCCTCATAGGGACTATAGTAATGTAAACAGAAAGAACCACACAAATGAAAAGTGGATGTTGCAAAATTACAAAGAACAAGCATGGTTCCAGAGAGATACAAGAAGATACCCCCACTCCTTTTCAGGAGTGTGCAGTCCATGTGTTACTTTTTGGATGTATCCATCAGTTTTATGGATGTTTTTCCTCTCCATTTTTTGTCTTAAAAATATTATTTGTAGTGGATAGAGCTCCGGCCTTGGAGTCAGGAGGATGTGAGTTTGATGGGGTGCTTTGGTGCTTGTACTTGTACCCCAGTTTCTCCCTAGCCTCAGAAACACTATTCCTGACAGTTTCTCCCTAGCCCAAGGACACTGTGCCTAGCAGTTATTCATGCATAGGCCTCAGCATGACCCTTATCTCTCTCCGTGGTGCAGCTACACAGAGCTGGGCTGCTCAGGCCCAGGCCTCAGATCATGTCTCTGGAAGCCTCCCAATTCCTTAGTAAGTTCCTGTCTTGTAAGAAAGTTTTCCCTTGTTGCAGAGCATTCTCTCATCAAGACAGAGGGAGAGGGGTGCCTTGCCCAGCCCAAGGAGGTTTGTCCTTCGCCAGCCCAAGGACTCTTCCTCCTGCCAGACTCCAAAGATCCATACCTCTGGTCATCTCCGTCCCTGTCCGGTATACTCCCTGTACTTTGCCATCCATAGCCCCCAAAGACACCTGCACCTTTGGATTACCTCATCAGTGTCCCTGGCATTTCTTTCCCATGCTCTTTTCCATATAAACCCTAGCTGCATTCTCAGTCTCTTGCAGCATCCTTTAAGAATCCTTGCCCACTGAAAAGTGTAACAATAAACTTTGCCACCTTGAATTAAAGAATGCTTGAGTCTGTGAATTCATTCCTGAGGACCTGTCCTGTACTCTGGTCTTTGAGGGGTCACAACCTTTCAACCTCTCACACCGCAACAAGTTCAGATCCAGCCTCAGACACATAACACTTACTAGCTGTGTGACCTTGGGCAAGTTACTTAACCCCACTGCCTAGCAAAATTTAAAAAAAATTTCTTGTTATATGGGATGATTCTTTGGAAAAGGGAGGGGGAGGGGGAGACAGATACTCTACCATTCCTTCTAACTCTGAATCTGTACTCTCTCTGTGCCTCAATTTCCTCATTTCTAAAAGGCTGGGATTGGACTAGATGAGTTTTGAGGTCCCTTTCTGGTATACATCTATGATCCCTAGGATTCACGGACCTTCCAGTGCTGAATCTCCCGCAGTTCCCGCCAGGGGGCGCAACGCAGATTTCCATCAATTGTCGTCCTCAGCAATGCCCACACGGTGGCGCCAGAGGGCCCCGCCGCGTCGTCCCGGGGCCTCCAAGAAGCCCTAGAAGAAAAAACGTAGTTCCGGAAAAGTCCTCATCGTCACTTCCTCTCAAGCGTCCTGATCTCTAGGAAGGGTGGCGGCGCAACTTCAAGATGCGCATCGAGAAGTGTTATTTCTGTTCCGGGCCGGTGTACCCGGGGCACGGCATGATGTTTGTCCGCAACGACTGTAAGGTGAGGCCGCGGATAGCGGGCGAGGGACGGGGTGAGGTGTTAGGTGCGGGCACGCTGGGGTGAGCGTGTGTCGGGTCTGGCATGCGTCCCCAGGACCTTGAGAGGTTCCCTCCCCCAACCTCCAATTCACGTGACTGTGCGCTCTCTGAAGGGCCTCGCTCGCTTGCCGTAGTGTTTTGGGTCTTTTACGCTGCCGCTCTGCTGCTGACTTGCTGCGGTTGGTGGGTGGGCTGGTCAGATCCCAGGAGCCTCCCACCCCAGAGACCGAGTTAGAGGCCACTTATTGGGACCACTTATTTTCACTTGGGGCTACGGGAGAAGACAATTTAAACAGTAAATAATTCAGTTCGATAATTATTAAGCCCCCCTTTTTTAAAATATAAATTTACTTATTTTTAGTTTTCAGTATTCACTTCCACAAGTTTTTGAGTTCCAAATTTCTCACCCCTCCCCCCACCCCAAGATAGCATGCATTCTGAATACCCCTTCCCCTGGTCTGCCTTCTCTTCTATCTCTCCCCCCCCTTCTCTTATCCCCTTCCCCTTCTATTTTCCTGTAGAGCAGGATAGACTTCTGTACCCCATTTCCTGTATTTCTTATTTCCCAGTTGCATGTGAAAACATTTTTTTTAAAACATGTGTTTTTAAAACTTTGAGTTCCAAATTTTCTCCCTTCCTCCCTCCCCACCCACCCTCATTGAAAAGGCAAGCAACTCAATATAGGTTGTACATGTGCAGTTATGCAAAACACTTCCATAGTAGACATGTTGTGAAAAACTAACTCTATTTCCCTTAATCCTATCCTGCCCTCCCATTTATTCTATTCTTTCTTTTGACCCTGTCCCTCCTCAGAAGTATTTGCTTCTGATTACCCCTTTCCCAATCTGCCCTCCTCTCTATCACCCCCTGCTCTCTTGTCCCCTTTCCCCCTATTTTCCTGTAGGGTAAGACAGATTTCCATACCCAATTGAATGTGTATGTTATTCTCTCCTTAAGCCAAATCCTATGAGAATAAGATTCCCTCATTCCCTCTCACCTTCCCCTGTTTCCCCTCCACTGTGAGAGACTTTTCTGTTTTTTTTTGTGAGATAATTTACCCATTCTACCTCTCCCTTTCTTCTCCGAGTATCATCCTCTCTCATCCCTTAATTTTATTCTCCAGATATGACCCCTTAATCTTCAACTCACCCTGTGCCCTCTATCTATCTATCTATACATACATACAGTTTTTTTCCTTCAACTACCCTAATACTGACAAAGTTCTCATGAGTTACAAATATCATCTTTCCATGCAGGAATGTAAACAGTTCAATCTTAATAAGTCTCTTATGATTTCTCTTTCCTGTTTACCTCTTCATGTTCCACTGGAGTCCTGTATTTGAAAGTCAAATTTTCTGTTTAGCTCTGGTGTTTTCATCAAGAATGCTTGAAAGTCCTCTATTTCACTGAATGACCACTTTTTCCCCCTGAAGGATTATACTCAGTTTTGCTGGGTAGGTGATTCTTGGTTGTAATCCTATCTCCTTTGCCCTCCAGAATATTATATTCCATGCTCTGTGGTCCTTTAATGTAGAAGCTGCTAAATCTTGTGTTATCCTGATTGTGTTTCCACAGTACTTGAATTGTTTCCTTCTGGCAGCTTGTAATAGTTTCTCCTTGACCTGGGAACTCTGGAATTTGGCTACAATATTCCTAGGAGTTTTCCTTTGGGGATCTCTTTCAGGAGGAGATCTGTGGATTCTTTCAATTTCTATTTTGCCCTCTGGTTCTATATCAGGGCAGTTTTCCTTGATAATTTCTTGAAAGATGATGTCTAGGCTCTTTTTGATCATGGCTTTCAGATAGTCCAATAATTTTTAAATTCTCTCTCCTGGATCTATTTTCCAGGTCAGTTGTTTTTCCAATGAGATATTTCACATTGTTTTCTAATTTTTCATTCTTTTGGATTTGTTTTACAGTGTCTTGATTTCTCATAAAGTCACTGTCTTCCAATTGCTCTATTCTAATTTTTAAGGAAGTATTTTCTTCAGTAATCTTTTGGACTTCCTTTTCCATTTGGCCAATTTTTTTTTTAGGGCATTTTCTCCTCATTGGCTTTTTGGACCTCTTTTGCCATTTGGGTTAGGCTGTTTTTTAAGGTGTTATTTTCTTCATTTTTTTTGGGTCTCCTTTAGCAAGCTGTTGACTTGTTTTTCATGATTTTCTTGCATCACTCTCATTTCTCTTCCCAGTTTTTCCTCTACTTCCCTTACTTGCTTCTCAAAATCCCTTTTGAGCTCTTCCAAGGCCTGGGACTGATTCATATTTTTCTTGGAGGCTTTGGATGTAGGAGCTTTGATTTTGTTGTCTTCTTCTGGTTGTATATTTTGATCTTCTTTTTCACCAAAGTAAGATAATATAGTCTGACTCTTTTTGCGCTGCTTGCTCATGATCCCAGCCAATTACTTGAGTTTTAAACCTTGTTAAGGTAAGAGTCTGCTTCCAATGTGAGAACTGTCCCAAGCTTCAGGGGTTTGTGGAGCTGTTTTCAGCGATACTTGGAGGGACCTGTCAATTTTCAGTTCTTCCAAGGTGGTATGATAAGGGGCGAGGTGTTTACTCCTTTCCTGGCCTGTGACCACAAGTACTCCTTTCTGTCCTGTAACTGTGAGGAGGTGTTCCTCTTCACAACCACTACAAGCTCCACCACGCCAGCGCTCTTCCTCACCCCAGCACTGCCGCCCAGAACTGTGACGCAGATCCACACAGGGGCAAAGCAAGAGATTCCTGTCTCAGCACTGGCAAAGAGATCCCTGCAATCCCTCTCTAATCAGCCACTGGATTCCCCCTCAGTCTGTGGGCCGGAAGCTCGGGAAGCAGCTGCTCCCCCACAGGGCCACGCTCTTGGAGAATGGAGCTGAAATCCCGCCTTCCTTTCTCAGCACCGACAGAAACAGACTTTTCCCACTGACTTTCTAAGTTGTCTTTGGCATTGGTGGATTGAGGAGTCTGGAAACCTCCACAGCTGCCTGCGATTCAGTTCCCTGAGGCCTGGTCCAGGTTTTCTGCGGCCTGCGTGCCCACGCCGTGCTGCGCTCCCAGCCCAGCATGATACACCTTTCTGATCAATCCTCCAGGTTGTCTTGGGCTGGAAATTTGTTTCACTTTGTCTTTTTGTGGGTTCTGCTGCTTTAGAATTTGTTTAGAGCCATTTTTTATGAGTATTTGGAGGAGAGCTCAAGCAAGTCACTGCTTTCACTCCACCATCTTGGCTCTGCCTCCTCAATTATTAAGCCCCTTCTATGGGCAAGACACAGGGTTATAGTTAAGGAATAGAAACAGAAAAAATGAAATGGCCTTTAAGGAATTAACATTCTACTTGGGGAATACAATTCCATTCAGTTCAATTCAGCAGGCATTTGTTAAGTTCCTGCTTTGTACGAGGCACTCACAAGGGGTGGGGGTTAGAACGAAAAATGAAATGTACCTTGCCCAAAAGGAGCCTGTGTTCTTGTTTGGGGAGGAGGGGTGCGGAAACGGCAATTAAGTTCGATGTAACAAGCATGTAATGTGTATTTTGTGTAGATTTGGGGGGGATACCAAAGGCAAAAAAACCGAAGTCACCCCCCCTGACTTCAAGGAGTTTGGGGGCAAGTAAGTAAATACAAAGCTTATATAAAAGAGAACAAAGTAATTCCAAGAAAGAGAAGATGTTAATGCTTGGGTGGTGCAGAAAGACTTCCTGTAGCAGGTGGCACTGGGGACAACAGAGTTCTCCTAAGAAGTGGAAGTGAGAAGAAAATGCTTTCTAATGCACTTTGTACCCTTGTACAAAATGGAGTGCCTACAAGTTTGTGAAACTTGGTGATGGGAAGAGTATAGTGGAACTATTATTGCATTTTTTACTCTTCTTTCGTCTGCCTTATCATCTTTTTGTACTTAAAAAGGAGCATAAAATTGGAGTGGGAATAGTGAGGCAAGAAAGGAAGATGTCGTGTTAATTTAACAACATTCTTTGTTACGATGAAAACTTGTTTATATTAATTTGAGATTCGTGAATAGATTTCAGGGGGTCCTTGAACTCAAATGCGGAAAAAATGTATTTTTATTTTCACTAACTTCTAACTGAAATTTAGCATTTCCTTCAGTTATTTAACAATGTTTTCCCAAGAAAGACTCTATGAGAGAATAACTTGAAGAACCTCCAATATAAAGCCATCTCTCCATCCTCCATTCAGCCAGTAAAGTGATTTTCCTAAAGTTCTGGTCTGATGACATTATCTCAGTAAACTCCATTGGCTCCCTGTTGGCTCAAATACATCAAATTTAAAAATCTGACATTCAGAGCCAATCATAATTTAGCCCCTTCCCACCTTTTCGGTCTTTTTATGATGCCTTATTCCCTGATACATACTCTTGGATACACATTCTCAGTTCTGGGCATAACTGGAATACTCTTCCCCTCCTCAGCTCTACCTACTAACTTTTCTGACAAGTCCCAGCTAAAATCTAATCTTTTCCTGGAAGCCTTCCATAACTCCTCATAATTCTGGTGCCTTTCCTCTATTAATTATTTACTGTTTATCCTGTCTATAGCTTGCTGTGTATATATTTATTTGTGCTTGTCTGCTCCTTTAGATTGTAAGCTCCTTGAGGGCAGGGACTATCTTTACCACTTTTTGTATCCCCAGTACTTAGTGCAGTCTTGACATAGTAGGGCTTAATAAGGGGCTTAGTAAGTGTTTATTGATTGATATGGGGAACTGAGACAAATCCTAATGTTATATTTTGCTTTTGTGTATGAGAAACTTATATT